ACCCCCCCCCCCCCCCCATGATGCTCTCTTCCTACTGACGGCCTAATCCCACCCCCACCACGCTGAGGCTTTCTCTCCCAGCACTAAATCACCCTTGAGAGCAAGAGGACGATCAGTCCCTCTGAGTCTGGACTCAACTTCCTGGAGCAGTGAGTTCCAAGCTGCTGACCCAGCACCTGGAAAAGTTTTTCTCTTTTGCTCCCTCTGGAAGGCAGCTGGGTGGCTCCCAGTAATGTGCAGAAGGGTGGCACCCAATAAGACTCCCCCACGCAGGGTGCTACTGTAATGCACCTAATATTTAACCCCCCCCTCAGCTGACAGCTGCTCCCTTCTCCCATTCCTTAGAATCATGAACTTTATGAATTCATGATCATTTTCACCCAAACTGCCTTCGACTTTCAAATTGTCAATCAGTTCCTCCCTATTTGTTAAAATCAAATCTAGAACAAATTCCCTCCAGTAGCTTTTTCAATCTTCTGAAATAAAAAGTTGTCTTCAATGCAGTCCAAGAACTTATTGGATAGTGTGTGCTCTGGTGTGTTAGTTTTCCAACATATATCTGGATAGTTGAAGTCTCCCGTCACCATCAAATCCTATGCTTTGGATGATTGTGTTAGTTGTTTAAAAAAAGCCTCATCCACCTCTTTCACCTGGTTAAGTGGTCTGTGATAGACCCCTAGCATGACATCACCCTTGTTTTTTACCCCTTTTAGCCTAACCCAGAGACTCTCAACATATCTGTCTCCTACATGCCCATAAATGGGCCTCTTCCCCTGCGTCACCGGGGAAAAACCCTTCCCTTCAGCCCCGCCCCTTCCCGTGCGCCAGAGCCAGTGGGGAGGGCGCGCGCTCCGGGGACTTTTTAACTCTCCTTGAGCGAGAGAGGGGGGCGAAGAAAAACAGCAGCGGGGGGGGGCTGACGTCAGAGCAGGGACGACAGACCAATACCCCTGAAAGTCGGGGCAGAAAAAAAACTAGGGTGTCAGATCCCAGCACCCGTGGTCCTGTCTGAGCTCCAGCCTCGGCCCGGCCCTAGAGGGAAGCAGCAAAGATCAAAACCTCCCCAGCTGGGGAAGAGCTGCCCAAAGTACTTCCTGCCAACTGGGGGAGGGGGAGCTGTTGTACAGCTCCCCACGAGTCCCCAAAGCCCCTTCCCCCCAAAAAAAGGGAGGCTTGGAGAAGGAAACAGAAAAACTAGAACGTCCCAACCTAAAAAGGCCATTACAAAAATGACAGAACACAGCCAGGTTCTATGATCCAACACAGCCCCGCCCGCCCCGAAATCATGTGAGGACCAAACCGGGTTTTGAAACAGAATCAGAATCTCCCACAGGCACTTAGAGAACTTTTTTTTTTTTTACTTAAATAAAATGTCAAGTAAAAAACAAAACAAATACAATCAGCTTCTTAAAGACAACCAAAAATAATCGGACTGGTTTAAAAAACACACACACACAAAACACCACAAAAAAGGTAAGTTAAGAAGCCAGAGCCCCTTTCATGGGAGAGGCAGGTCTCTTCAGCCAGGGGGGCGGCCAATCAGTTTCTTTTGTCTGTCAAGTATCAGGTTTTTTGGTTCTGTTTTAAGTTCACAGAAGTCCTGGCCCCTTAATTCACACACACACAGGCCCCTTAATTCGCACCCTTTCCTCACCGCGGTACCTCTTGCTGCACTGGCCAGCTATGCAACAAGTTCGTGGGTTGCTTGGGGTTTTAAATACACTCACGCCACACGCACACCAGTTTAGGCAACCCGCACATTCTGAATCCAGCAGAGAGCAACACACAACCCCTCCCCTCCAAAAAGGGAACACGACAAAAACAGACAACACACAACCATCAGCAGTCACGGGGAGGCGGAGCCTGGTCCTGGAAGTCTCCTGGGGAGCTTGGTCCAACTCGTGAGAACGCTACGAAAGTTCATGTAAACTTTCCAAGAGGGGAGTCCAGTTCCTCGCCAGTCTCTTAAATAAGAAGGGGGAGGGGCGCTCAGAAGGATTGCATTTTAACAGTCAAAAGTAGCTGGCAGCCATTGTTCACGTGGTTCATGACTTTCTGCTTGAGCTGGGCCACCTGGTCCCGCAGGACGCTGGCTGTGTTGGACAGTCCCGCGTTCTCCGTTTTCAGCGTCTTGACTTTGTCCTCCAGCCGGGCTATCCGCTCCAGCTTCCTCTTCCGGCACTTGGTGGCCGCCAGCCGGTTCCGCAGCCGCTTCCTCTCCACCTTGATCCGCTCCTGGTCTTCCATGTTGATGGGCGAGACGGGGGGCGACTGGACGTCGGGGACGGTCTGCGGCTCCTCCTTGAAGCCCTGCACCCGGGGCGAGAGGGAGGCGGCCAGGGCGGGGCCCGCGTAGGCGTGACTCTGGGGCAGGTAGCTGAGGTTGGCGGTGGGGTAGCTGGACGCGGTGCTCATGGCGCCCGGGTTGTAGCTGGTCAGGTTGGTGTAGACGGGCGGCGGCTCCGGGTGGAGGGAGGCCCCGTAGACGCTGCTGGCCACCGAGACGGCGGCGGCGCCCAGGGAGACGCTGGGAGGAGGCATGTGGTTCATCTTGTGCAGGTCATCCAGCGCCTTCACGAAGCCGTCGGCGAAGGCCTCCTGCTCCTCGGTGGCCCCCCGCGGGTAGTAGTAGGCCCCCGGGGTGGGCGTGGTGGTGATCACGCCGTTGCTGTTCTGGATGATCAGCCGCTCCAGCTCCGGGGAGGCCAGCTTGAGCGAGGCGTGGGCGCCCGCCTCGGGCTGCAGGCCGGCGGGGGCGTAGAAGGCGCCTGCTTCCTCCGCCGCCTGGCCCCGCAGCTGCAGCGGCGCCTTGAGCCCCCGGAACGGCTCCGGCACGCTCAGGGCCATGCCGGGCTTCAGCGCCTTGTAGTCCGGGGGCCCGCTCAGCTCCGCCCGGCCGTAGCCCGCGAGGAAGGAGTCGTCGTGGTAGAAGGGCTGCTCCATCTTGGTGCACATCGGCAGCGCGGGGCGCGGAACCTGCTGGGGGAGCGGGCGGCTTCGCTGGGCTCCCTCCCGGGGCGACCCTGCCACACGGGGTCCTGCGGGTGCTGGGCCCCGGAAGCGACAGGCGGGCCCGTGCGAGGCGATGGGCGCAGCGACCGCTCGGCTTGTGGCTCCGCCGCGTTCTGAGCCAGCTGCTGGCGGCCCCGCGCGGAGCCTTTATAGCGCCCACGGGCGGAAACGCGGGGCGGGGCGCAAGCAGCCCCGTGCGTGCTGGGAAGGGCCCGCGCGGGGCCGGGCTGCGCGTCACGGGGCGGGGCCACAGAGACACACACCGAGACAGACAGACACAGAGACACACAACCGCACGCTCAGACGTACGGACACCAAGAGACACGCAACCACGCACCGAGATAGACAGACACCGGGAGGCGCACAACCACACTGAGACAGGCAGGGAGACAAACAGAGAGAGATACACAACAGCACACCCAGACAGGCATCAAGAGACACACAACCACACACCGAGACAGACAGACACCGGGAGGCACACAACCACACTGAGACAGGCATGGAGACAGAGAGATACACAACAGCACATCCAGACAGACACCAAGAGACACACAACCACACACCGAGACAGACAGACACCGGGAGGCACACAACCACACTGAGACAGGCATGGAGACAGAGAGATACACAACAGCACATCCAGACAGACACCAAGAGACACACAACCACACTGAGGCAGACAAAGAGACACACAACCACACACTGAGGCAGATTGACACTGAGAGCCGAGAGGCACACAACCACACGCTGAGAGAGATATAGAGACACACAACCACACACTCAGACATACAGACACCAAGATACACACAACCACACACCAAGACAGACACTGAGTGGCGCACAACCAAACACTGAAATAGACATAGAGATACACAACAGCACACCCAGACACCAAGAGACACACAACCACACACTGAGACAGACATAGGGACACTGAGAAGCACAGAACCAGACTGAAACAGACACCGAGAAGAACACTATCACACAGTGAGACAAGACATGGAGAGACACACAGTCACAGGCACACAACTGCACACCAAGACAGACAGACGCAGAGAGACACACAACCACAGACAGACACTGAAACACACAACCCCACACCCAGACAGACAGACAATTAGAGAGATACACGACCACAGACAGACACCAAGACACACACACACACACCAAGACAGACACCAAAGAGACACACAACCACACACCAAGACAGACACCGAGAGACACACAACTGGACACTGAGACAGGCAGAGACAGACACACACTGCACACCCGGAGACTGACACACTGAAACAGACAGACACAGATATACTCCCTGAGACAGACATAGAGAAACAGATACACAAATACACACACCAAGATTGACACACAACCACACCCCAGACGGACACACACACAAAGTGAGACAGACACACAACCACACACCCCAAGACTGACAACCCCTCCCTCCCTGAGACAAACACACAACCCCACAGCAAGATGGATACACACGCACTGAGACAGACACATAATCACACAGCGAGATGGACACAGTCCCAGACACACACACGCAGATACAGGGCCATAGAGACAGACACAGACACACAAACTTACAGACACAGAGACATGGCCATAGAGATTGACACACATAGAGATGCACAACCCCAGAGACAGACACAGAACACTCCAACGTACACACCCCACCGCACACAGAGACACCCAGCCACCCAGCAGCACACACACGCAGCCATACACAGCAAGGCACACAACCCACCCCACACATAATAACAGAGAGAGCCATCCACAAACACACAGACACACACAAACATAGGGACACATCCACCCAGCAAAGCACACATGTCGAGACAGAGAGATACCCAGGCTGATGTGTGCACACACCACACGCACATGTGCACATACATGAACTCACTGATAACACACATGTGAACACATGCCTGCATGTCTCCAGCAGCACACACTCCCCCAACCGCCCCCCCCGATCTCCGCGGGGGCCCCTCTCCGAGCCTGGACAGCTCCCCCTGCACCCCCCGTGTGAATTCAGCCAGGAGCCTATGGGAGAAGGGGGACAGATCCTGACATGGGACTCGGGGGCTGGGATCATGGGCTGGAGGGAGCAGGAGCTGGAGGAAAGGGGGGTAGACTGGGGCCCTCCCTTGACCCCTCCAGCTAGGCCGGGGAGCTGATCAGACCAGGCGGCCTGGCTGCCCTCCCTCTCTCCAGCCCAGGGAGAGCCCATCCCGAGCTGGCAACCCTTTCCCACTGCCTGTTTGCCCCACTCCCTCCCACCCATGTTGCGGGTGCAGGCAGGGTGAGGAGGGGCCCTCCATCGCAGGTGTGGGTCTGGAACCTGGTTTGTGCGATGGGAGAGTGAGGCCTGAGGTCGTGGGAGATCCTGACGCAGCCGGTCCGTGCTCTCTCCCGCACCAGGCACTGGCCCCTGGGGACTGCAGCTGGTTGGCTGATCAACTGCTGCAGTGTCAGATCGGAGCAGAGCACAGTCACCTGCAAGCGGGAATCGGTAGTGAGCAGTGTGTGGAGAACACACTGCAGCCTCCGAGTGGTGCACACGACAGTGCTTGGCCATCTGTGCTACAGCACTTAGTAGCCTGCTAAGAATATACCACAGCACCCGGTCCAGGCATACACTGGTGCACTGCAGCCTGCTAAGAACATACCACAGCACCCCGTCCGTGCACACACTTGTGCACTACAGCCTGCTAAGATCATACTACAGTGCCTGATTCGTGCATACACGAGTGCACTGCACCCAGTGTTTGATCATATGTAGGTACAGCATTTTCATGAAGTACCATTGTATTTAAGGGCTCCAACAGTACGTCCAGACTGGATGGGATGGGATGGGACGGGATGGGATTCCCAGTGTTAGGAAGAGCATGGAATCTAGGGATCAGAGCGAGGGGAGGGGGGCCATGGGAACCAGAATTCCTGGGTTCTATTCCTGTCTCTGGGAAGGAGCAGGGGCTAGTGGTTAGAGCAGAGGGTGCCGGGAGCCAGAACTCTCCCCAGCTCGAGGACGGGGGGGGATCTGAGGGGCTAGAGAACACGGCTGGGGCTGGGGCTGGGAGCCAGGACTGCTGGGTTCTATTCCTGGCCTAGCCACTGACTCAGGGTGTGAAGTGAAGTGAGTCACTTCTCCATGCTGTGCCTTAACTTCTCTATCTGGGAAAAGGCCTTGGCTGCCTGCATTTGGGAAGTGTTCTGGGCTTGCAGGTAGCGGGAACATCCCCGACACCTCCAACCCCCCAGGGGCAGGGCAACCTGCCCTTCTCAAAGCAATGTACGTTTTATATCATGTCGCACTGAAATGCAGCCACCTCTGGGGTGGGCCTAACTCTGCCCAGGGAGCTACTCAGGCTCCTTCCACAGGGCGCTTGTTAGAGGATCCATTTGGTGCCCGTCCTGCCGAGGATCCGCTCACGTGGCCGGTGCCCTCTCGGGACGGGCTGGGCCTAAAGGAAGCAGCAACGCTGGGGTTGTTTGGACAGGAAACAAACAGCCCGGGCGGGTTTGGTTTGCAGACAGCCCCAGTGGCAGGCAGGACAGGCTGGGCCGTTATCAGGGAGTGGCGATAACAGAGCCAGGCACGGAGCAGGGAGCAGAGTCTGAGAGGCGCACACGCCCAGCCCAGCTGGGAGACCTGCCAGGACATGGCCCCAGCCCCGTGCACGGACGCGCTGGAGCCAGAGTGAAGGACACAACAAGGGCCCAGGGGTCTAAATCTTAGCTTGGTTCTGATTCAGCCCAGATTGGTTCTCCCCTCCAGCCTGCCTGTATTATTATCCCCGTGTTACAGAGGGGAAACTGAGGCACGGGAGGCCGAGCCAGGGATAGAACCTAGGAGTCCTGCCTCCCAGCTGGGGGATACCGAGCCATGGATTTATTTGGTGCTCCTCGTGTCAGATGGGACCTAAAGGTTTTCCTCCCACCTCCGCTAGTCTCCCCCCCCCGGGTGTGTCTGTGGGGAAGGGGCCAGAGCAGGGGGGTTGCTATTGCTGCCACTGGGAGGAACTGTAGGAGCCGGACAGTGCTTTCTGCCTGTATTGTCCCGGGGCAGGGCATGGCCGGGCCCCCTTGCCTGGGCTGCTGTAACCTAGGGCAGTGGGGAGAAGAGGGGGAGCAGGAGGGCTGAGATTGGGGGGCTCCTACTACACCAGGCAAAAGGGGGCTACACCCACAGCCCCCCATGTGAACATGTACAGGTACACGCGTGTGAACGTGGTCACTTGCGCGCACAGGCGTCCTCGCCCAGACACACCTGTGCTTGCACACCAGCACCCACGCCATGTCCGTGCACACACACCCACAGCGCTGCTCACGAGTGCAGGTGCCCAGGCAGCCACAGACACTTATGTACACACACACACTCACCCACGCCTGTGGACTCTCGCATGCCTGGCCTGCTTGCACAAGAGCCACTCGCACGCACACACTTGCCCCGGAGGTGCTCTGCAGGTGACTCAGGCCCATATAAGGCAGCGGAAGGAGCTGGAGCTCCCTGCTCCCCCCTCCCCCCCCCCCCCGCCGCCGGC